TAATAGTTATGACACTGAATGAGGTGGATACGTGCCCTCCTACAATAGAGGACAGAAAAGCATGCTTCTAACATACAGAAGACTTCATTTTCTCTTTTTTAGCTAGAAATGCTTCTGATATCTCATTTTGGCTGGGGCGGGGGAGTGGGGGGTAGGGTTAAAGATCAGCTCCTCTAAAACAAAAATAATTCTTTTGACTTACACATTTATCAACTCCAAACCGGCTTATCATGACTATTTATATGCCTTAAGTCAACTTATTCAGTCATCCCAGCATATAGCTTGTAAATAAATGCTTGACACACAAGAAAAGGACCTTGCTCAAAGGTAGCAAATCCGCACACACCTCGCAAGTTTTCATGGCTGAGGGAAACCTGCCCTCTCACCTGCCTGGAGCTACCCAGGCTAACACTCACATGCCCACGCCGCAGAGGCTGCGCTTTCTATCAGCTACTTTCTGTGCATTAGAGAAATGCAAATTAATCATGGAAAAGAATCATCTTGATTCTGTCTTCAAGCATCTCCTTGGCTACTGCTGAGGCTGAGATAGGATGGCCTCCTACTGAGGATAACTGTATGCTTTTTCCTCTAAACAGCCTGTTTATGTGTGGGGAGATGCATGTCTGTCTCATTCTGGCCAGCCTGATAATTGCATGCTTTTCCTCTGCACAGCCCAACGCCCTGCCCCAGGCTTAGCTGATTTTTTCTGTTAAATGGTATGTATTTTTCTTATTGATTCAAGAAAGGCCTTCATTTATGACTTAAGAAAGCAAAATATTACACTGGTTAACATGCCTTTTCTGCCCCTTTCCTTTCCTTATTTAGAGTTTTGTGGCTCTTTGGGACTCGCTTTTTTCCTTTGGCATTAACTTGTGGACTTCTAGCCATGACTCTTCAAACCATAGATGCTTGTAACTGATGGTGAAAGAAGTATCAGCAATAAAAAAGGAGGGAAATTGTTTCTTTGTCCCGTTGTCCCTTTGTCCCTACAGCTACAGAGGGAAACAGCAAATATTATTCCTGCAAAGGAGTCTGTGAGCTACCCAGTCTTCGAAAATTGTAGCTCTGCCCTCTGAAAATAACCATGCATCTCTAAAAGCTTGTAGAATTGTGGTCATCTTATTTAATTAAGTGTTTTCCTATTGTGAGATATAAATTGAAATCTAGTAATTCCTAACAGGTCTAAATATCTGCAAGATTTCTTAGACAAATCCATCACTGATATTTCCTTCTTCTGCCATAAGCATGCAGGTAATAAAATAAAATAAAACAAAATAGGAGGGAGGATACAGCTCAAGTAGCAGAGCATGTGCTTAGCATACACAGGGTCCTGGGTTCAATCCCCAGTACCTCCCCTAAAAATAAATAAATAAGTAAACCAAATTACCTCCCCCCCCAAAAAATTTTTAATTAATTAATTTTTTAAATAAAACAAAATAAAATAGTCAAAAAATCTGAGACTTGTGTGTCATTTAAATTCATGATATGCTCAGTAAAATGCAACTGTCAACTGTTGTCAAATGTCTTGCAAAAACCACCCCCTGCTGTTTATCTCTTATTTTAGCTATGAAAAGTTTTTTGCTCAGTCTGGAAATTCCAACCAATGTTTTCTTTATGGCTTCTATCATTCTAGAAAGCCCTCCTTTCTCATACCTTTATTTAAAAATATTTTATTTAAGTCCACACAATAATCTGCACATGAATATTTGTAATAGTTTTATTCATAATTTCCAAAATTTGGAAGCAATCAAGGTGTCCTTCAGTAAGTGAATGGCTAAATAAACTTTGGTATACGTAGACAAAGGAATACTATTCAGTATTGAAAAAAATGAGCTATCAAGACATGAAAAGACATGTAGGAAACTTGAATGCATGTTACTAAAGGAAAGACATCATATGAAAAGGCCGCATACAGTATGATTCCAACTCTGACATTCTGGAAAAGATGAAACTATGGAGAGAGTAAAAGATCAGTGTTTCCAAGATTTGGGGATATGGATGAATAGGTGGGCCACAGAGTATTTTTATGGCAGTGAAGCTATTCTGTCTGATATTATAACGGTGGACACATGTCACTATACATTTGTCAACATCCATAGGATATACAACACCAAGAGTGAACTCTCATGTAAACTGTGGACTTCAATTAATAATAATGTATCGAGGCGGGGGCCAAGATGGTGGAGTAGAAGGACGCTCATAGCTCACCCTCTCCCACAAATACACCAAAACTCACATCTACGGACACACCCAGCCAACCAGGACACCTGCTGATCTCCGGCTGAACATCGCCCTCTTCAAAAGACAAAGACGCCAAGAATCTGGTAGGAGAAAAGGAAAAAAGAAAGAAGAAAAAGCAAAACAAAGCAGGATCAGTCCCGCGGGGAGGGAGCAACAAAGGAGTAATAGCACTCATTTGCTGGGTCTCCCCCTCTCCAACAGAGAGGCCAGCAGGATGGAGGGGGAGCCTCCAAGTCTCACATCTGTACGGAGCACCCCTTGACTGACAGAACCAAGTTAAACAGGCACAGAGGGTCTCTGCAATTTCCAGCCCTAGAGGTAAAGTGGCAGGTGGGGGACAAGACAGGCCGCCCCAGCCGGGCGGACTAGGGCAGCTACGTTGAGGCAGCCATGGGGGACTGCAGGGTGCTAAGTGCCATGGATGAGTGGGTACACAGGGCTGAACAACCTGGGCCCCCCATAAAACAACATGGCTGATGTGCCCTGGGGGAAAAGGTGCCATACCCCCATTTCCAAAAACCCGTGAAAGGTTTTCAGGAGAAGAGAGGCAGGGCTCAGGCACAGCCGCCATATCCTCCAGCACTTAGCACCCAGGCGGGGGTGTGGTCAAAAGCTGAATCCCTACCTAAGGGCTTAGCAGCCTCAAAGGCCAGATGGACACTTGCTTACAGCCCGAGGCAAATAGGATCTTTCTGCCCTGGTACCTCAGAGAACTTGCACTGCCAAAACAAACAAGGAGCTGAGTTTTTGCATGGTACAGGGGTAGGGCTGTTCCGCCATCTTCCCTGAGCCCGCCTACGGAGGGCCAACCCAAGGTGGAATGGGCAGCTGCACAGAGCAGGGGCGACCAGCTGGGAGAGGGTGGGCGGCCAGCCACCTTCCTGGCAGGAGCCCATAGCACCTGACCAAGGTGATGGGAGGGGGCGTGATCTGCCCAACTACCTAACCAGAGCACAGCATCTGACTGTGGCATCGGGAGGGGGAGTGACCTGCCCACCCACCAGGTAAGAGCTCAACACCTGACCACAGTGTTGGGAGGGGGTGCAATCTGCTTGCCAACAGGCACTGGGAGCAGCATAGATGAGGGTGCCAATGGAGGACCCCTGGAAGCAGCAAGCTGAGTTCAAGAAGCAGGGCAAAGACAGAAAGCTTTCTCTATAAAATCATTAAGAGCGCACAGTCTCTAGGAAAACACATCACCCCCTTTTAATTTTTAAATCTTTTTTTCATCTGTTCTATTTTCTATTACCTGTTTAATTTTTACTTTTTAAACAATTGTATATGCTTCCAGTTTTAATCCCTTTACATTTTTTTCTTTTAAAATATTTTTATTATTTTTACTTTTAAAAATCCACCTGATTTCATTTTCATTTCTCTAGCTTTTGATCTCTTATTAGTGATTATACACAGGTTTCAAATATTGTTTTTTGCTCTTTTCTCCTTTTTTTTTAAAGGTTTATAAAAGACGTCTGAACTCAATTGCTAGTCTGATTCAACTTACTCCTCTATTATTGATTATACACTGTTTTGTTTTGAAACTTTTTTTTCTCCCTTTTAAAATTCTCTCTCTCTTTTATTTAAAGTTTTATTCCTGCATAGGTGTTAGATAGATAAATAAATAAACTCCTTAAGGACCACAATAGATAACTGATATTCCATAAGCCACAGTGCCAGGGAAATATGAGCAATATGAAGAAGCAGAGGAATCACTCTCACATAAAAGAGCAAGAGAAATCCCCTGAAGGAATAATCAATGAAATAGACATTGATGTCCTACTAAATCAAGATTTCAAAAAAGGAATGATCAAAGTACTGAAGAAACTAAAAGAAATAGTGTTTAGAGATATAAAATATGTCAAAAATGAAATGGAAGCTATAAAGAACAGCCAGGTAGAACTGGTAAACACATTTGCTGAGATGAGAGTTGATCTAAAGGCTGTACAAAGCAGACTAGATAATGCAGAAGAACAAATAAATGACCTGGAAGACAGGAAAACAGAAAGCACCCAATCAGAACAGCTGTGAGAAAAACAAATAAAAAACAATGAAAGCAATATAAGGGACCTATGGGATAATATAAAGTATGCCAATCTATGCATAATACGAGTTCCAGAAGGGGAAGAAAAAACAACGGGGATTGAAAACGTATTTAAAGAAATCATGACTGAAAACTTCCCAAACCTAAAAAGGAATCAGATATCCAAGTACAGGAAGCTCAGAAGGTCCCAAACAGGAAGAACCCAAACAGACCCACACCAAGATATATCATAATCAAGATGGCCAGAGTCAAGGATAAAGAAATGATCCTAAAGGCAGCAAGAGAAAAACAAAGAGTGAGTTACAAGGGAACCCTCATAACGCTCTCAGCTGATTTCTCTACATAAACACTACAGGCCAGAAGGGAGTGGCAAGATATATTCAAAGTCCTGAATGAAAAACAGATGCAGCCAAGGATACTCTATCCAGCAAGGCTATCCTTTAGAATAGGAGAGATAAAGAATTTCACAAGCAAGCAAATACTAGGAGAGTTAAGCAACACTAAACCCATGCTAAAAGAAATATTGAAAGGTCTATTCTAAATAGAAAAGAAGCAGGATGCTACAGAAACGAGAAACTCATAACTGAAAAGGTGATAACTACCATGAGTTAGAAATAGAATAAATGTGAAATAGTAAGGAAGACATCTAAATCATTAAGAGAGGGAGAGGGAAGAAAGAAAATATAGAGGGTTTTTTTTTAAACCTTTTGTTCTCGGTAGGATGGATTTGAGAATGTATTACTACCTGTTTAAAACAAACAGTTATAGTAATGGGTTAATAGACTTACAAAAACGGGTAACCACAAGCCAAAAACTAAATAAAATCCAAGATGATACAAAGGAAAATAACCAAGCCACAAAAGGAAGAAGAAAGGAACAAAAAGGAAATACCAAATCAACTCCAAAAATAACGTCAAAATGGTAATAAACACACATCTATCATTAATTACTGTAAATGTTAATGGACTAAATGCCCCAGTCAAAAGACATAGCGTTGCAGACTGGATAATAAAGCAAGAACCTT